GGGATTATTCACATGTCGTTATAGTTGCGCCGCTTCTACTACCACGACTCCTAAAAAAAACGTTTTCATTCCGCATCGCCCCATCAAGCTCTCGCTGGATCCGCTCCTCTGCTATCAACGAGAGGAACGTCTGTTCTTCCGCAACAGACAACAAAACTTGGTTGTTAAAAAAAAGGTGCGCTAGTTCAAAACAGTTGCGTTCGATCCTTCGCTGGCTGTGCTGATTTAAATCTAGCGGTTCTGTTATGTTTGTGCCACAAGTTCAGTGACGCAGGTAGTGACGATTCTCTCTGGCCAATCCGTGATCAGCAGAGTTTACACGTCACGTTTTGGTAACGGTACGGTTCTCTTGGAATCCCAACCGAGGTGGTACTAAAAAAAGTACCAGGTACCAGGTACTGTACCCAGTGAAAAACCCCCCAAAAGTGAACCGTACCGAGCCGTACTGTGCCGTACCATGCAGTGGAAAAGCGCCATAACTTCCATGCAACTAGTACTTAATTTGAGCAAGTATCTTTTCCATTAGGTGCTAGTACCAATTATTTAGATACTAGTGCATAAAAGATACCTACAATGTTAAATCAGCTTGCCATACTATCTCGCCTAAAAGCTAACTAAAATGTATAAGAACGCTACTACGATGAAGGCATAGCTCATTAATATTAATAACGTGACGAAATGTTCGACCAGCGCGAGTCAGAAATCGCTCAAACCCGAAGGCTTGACGTCTTTTGGACGTTTACCAAGCAACGTCGGCACGATCTACAAAGTATTATATTTTGTTAACTTTTGTAACGATCATATAAGCTTTTGTGATGTCTGTCCCCCCTTTTCTTTTCTTTGTTTACGTCAATTGTTGTTATTTTATTTGCAAATTATTTGCAATTTTATTTGCAAAAAAAAAAAAAAAAACTCAGCACGATCTGATTAATAATCCATAAACAAAGCCCTGGCTGTAGTCATAGACTGTAAAAAACAGGCTGTAGTAGAGAGAAAGGGCGACCGTCTGAATCATGTACGCTTCCGGTTCAAAGTAGTAGAACGTGCCAGTGCTGTATGGCTGCGCCTGCCGCATCATCAGTTTGAGCTGTGAATCATTGACAGGACATACGCTAAAAAGCAAGAGAGGTTAGTAAACTAATAGTTTAGTTACATAGGTTCATCAGGTTTATCAGTGTTTATCTCAGCGATGGTTCTTGTAAAGTGACTGTAAAGGGAAGTTGTGGCCTAATGGTTAAAGAGTCGGACTCGTAACCCAAAGGTTGCGAGTTCGAGTCTCCGGTCTGGCAGGGATTGTAGGTGGGGGGAGTGACTGTACAGCGCTCTCTCCCACCTTCAATACCACGACTGAGGTGCCCTTGAGCAAGGAACCGAACCCCCAACTGCTCCCCGGGTGCCGCAGCATAAATGGCTGCCCACTGCTCCGGGTGTGTGTTCACGGTGGGTGTGTGTTCACTGCTGTGTGTGTGCACTAAGGATGGGTTAAATGCAGAGCACTAATTCCTAGTATGGGTAACCATACTTGGCCACATGTCACGTCATGACATTTAAAGATAGTTTTAGTGTTTTAGTATGCTCGCAGACAACAGTAATCTGATTAACGTAACTATTACCAGCAGTAAATCACCTTTATGAATCAAAGTGCAGTAAATGGCTTGCACGATTTTATTGCCACATTATGTTACATTAAACTTCATTTAGATTAAATGGCAATCTTGTATTAACAAGTATGGCTTGTTTAAACCAAGAAAAAAGACATACATGCAACATATGTGACCCTGGACCACAAAACCAGTCATAAGGGTCAGTTTTTTTTTAAATCGAGATTTATACATCATCTGAAAGCTGAATAAATAAGCTTTCCATTGATGTATGGTTTCCCACAGGATTGTTAGGATAGAGAAATATTAGAAAATCTGGAATATGAGGGTGCAAAAAAAAAAGAAAGTTGTCCAAATGAAGTTCTTAGCAATGCATTATGCATATTATTAATCAAAAATGAAGTTTTGATATATTTACGGTAGGAAATTTACAAAATATCTTCATGGAACATGATCTTTACTTAATATCCTAATGATTTTTGGCATAAAAGAAAAATCGATAATTTTGACCCATGTATTGTTGGCTATTGCTACAAATATACCCCAGCGACTTATGACTTGTTTTGTGCTCCAGGGTCACATATATGTGACCAAATCAAGCCTCATGACATGACTCATGCATTATAGTTATTGACATTAAATGTCTTAAATTTAATGCATGTTTTATTACCTGGCATGTGTTTTTTGACTGATGCCCTTTTATCTACCAGTGTAATCTATATAATGGCTGTAAAGACTGATCCCCCTCTCATCCTGGGTCATAATTTATGGGGAACCTTAACACATCATTGTGGGTCTGACCTGCATCATCATGATGTGGCTGATGGGCAAGACAGGTAATGAATATGTCATATCAGTCCTAGACTGAACATGAAGCCATTCGCATTTGATCTGCCACATGCTCCAGAATGTAGTTTGCAAAACAGCTTTGTCTGCTGCAGAATATATATGGATTACAACGCCACCACACCAGTCGATCCAGAGGTGGTCAAGGTTATTACTGATGCTTTAACTGATGCGTGGGGAAATCCCAGCAGTAATTACCTACCAGGTATGAGGCTCTCAAGGATAGATGATTGGCAGACGTCTAACATGTCACATTTAAAGGCATAGTTCACCCAAAATTTTCTCATCATTTATTCATCCTCATCTCCTTCTAAACCCGAGAAAATATTTTGAAGAAGGGTGGGTACCAAACAACCCCCCACCTCCAAAAATAATCTTAAAATATAAGATTCTTAAAATACAAGAATAGTTGAATCTTGAGTTTCACAGAAGAAAGTGAAATAGGTTTGGAATGACATGAGGGCGAGTAAATGATTATTATTTTTGGGTTAACTATCCACTGAACACAATCTCATATTTTTTTCCACTGATCTTAGGTCTGAAAGCCAGAGACATCATTTACCATTCCAGAGACACTATTGCCAGGATGGTTGGTGGAAAAGCAGAAGACATTATTTTTACTTCAGGAGGAACTGAGGTGAGGGTTTCAAGTGTCCCAGGTCAAATATAAATTCATCAAATTATCTTCTTTTCCTCTATAATTCTTTAAATATTTTTTATTTTTTTACAGCCGAATAGTGAAGGCCCTATAGGCCAGGGGTGGTGAACTCCGGTCCTGGAGAGCCACAGTCCTGCAGAGCTCAGCTCCAACCCGAATAAAAACTCACCTGCCTGTAGCTTCCTAGTAACCCTTCAGACCTTGATTAGCTTGTTCAGGTGTGTTTGATTAGGGTTGAAGCAAAACTCTGCAGGGCTGCGGCTCTCCAGGAACGACGTTCGCCACCCCTGCTATAGGCTGTTGCATAATTCACATTTCCACCATCCCTGTCTAGTGTTGTAACATGCTCAAAGTTCAAACAATTTTAACTTTGACGCTCTTTACCACTGACTTTATGAAGCACAAACAAGCAGACATTTCACCTGACATATTGTCAGTGGTGCAAAATCGGGGTATGCACTATATGCGGTGCATAGGGGCGGCGCACATAGGGGGGCGCCATTTTGCCGAAATTATTCTGTGAAAATCTTCTTTAATAAAACGTTATAAATAATCAAAAGCTTGGTTGTTAAAAATAATGTAATGAAACATTTTTATTTTATGGTTTTTAGCATTTTAAACGAGTTAAAAAAATGTATTTATTATAAACTTATTAAGACGCCGAATGGCCGTATCTCTTTACGACCACAACAAACAGGAGGCTTTTCAGACGCGCACTTCAGCTTGCCCTCATCACAAGGCGTGAGTCAAACAAGTGCGGAAAAGGTACAGGTGCCAAATGAGCTTCAGTAGAACAACAGTGAACTGCGGTCTGATGAGATGTTGTTATATGTCAGTAAAACAAACTTTCCTGTTCTGTCAGACGTTTTACTGTGCTCACAGCGCACGCTCTTCAACTGTTCGCGAATATGAGGCACGCACGGTCTATATCACTTCATCATAAATAACCCGCACAAGAAACTACGCCAGTTAAGTCATGAAATTACCAAAATGGCAATTAAAGCTGCAAAACTGTGCAGGCATGTATGAAATATTCTACCATTCGAGATCACAATAGGGCGCAATATGATAAGTAATTTTTTTTTTTGTAATTTAATGCACAAGTAAATGTGAGCACAGTGCAGTTGTACTAAAAAATATGTGCTAATTTTTCGTTACTTTGTAAAGTACGAAAATAAAACCATATTTAAATGCATAAAATAACTAATTTTACATTCTGGCATGTGCTGTTGACTTCCACCCTTTTTCACATTATTGCAGAAGGGGATTCAAAAGATAACTCTTTTTTTTTTATTTTCCTTTGTACAGAGCTCGATTTAGGTTTGACAAAACTCTCATCCATGAGTAGGCCTGTGCAATGATGGAGAACAAGATTTTGGGGGTGTTGAGAGCCAGAACCAAGCTGACTGAGCAATAAAGCTATAGTGAGCCCTGGGGAAGTTGTGGCCTAATGGTTAGAGAGTCAGGAATTGTTGTGTTCACGGAGTGAGAGTGCACTTTGGATGGGATAAATGCAGAGCACTAATTCCTAGTATGGGTAACTATACTTGGCCACATGTCACGTCACTTCACTTCACTTCACTTCTTTATTAAAATACCCGGAGGTAATACAGATATTGTCATATTCACTCAGTATTACTTGATCTAATTCACAACTGTCTCAATTACAATTAAGTACAAATTAATTGTATTCAGTTGTGTTTTAGGCACTAAAACAGTCCAGTACTTTATAGTCAAATAAATTTTATATTGAAATAATGAAGATTTCTGTGCCACCCCAGACTGGTTGGTGCCCCCTTCCTGGCCACCCCTATGAAAACATCCTGACTCCACCGCTGCCTATAGAGGGCCAAGTGATTAATATCAGTTCATTTCTGAGTATCTCTATTGCTGAAAAAAAACACACATGTTTGTGAATGGGCGTTTGATTTACATTTGAGAGAAACTGAGAAGATTGTAAACAAGGATACAAACTGGCCACCTTTCGCTGAAAATTGCCGTTCTGAATTCAAAGGCCATCTGTGTGATTCCAGTAGATCCTTGAACTTTGACAAAAAATAGATTTTTAAATGCTATAATAGTGATTTTATAATGTCTAAATATAAATCCATTAGCAAAACGTGAAAAGAGCTATATTACGGAGTGGAAATGGTAAATGAGACAATGAATGATCCTCTGCTCCCATCTAGTGGCCATAGTGGGAATATCATGACATTCATTTTAATAGTATTTGTTTTTCTACCAGGTGGCATAAATCTTCCACTTAAGCATGGCAAATTTTCCATGAATTATCTTTATAAGTAAACATGAAGTAATACAGATGTTCTTTAAAGTAAATTTTACATAGTGTTCTCATTTTATATAAAAATGTACAAAAATATGAATAACTTTGGGGAAAATGAATAATAATAATAATAAAAATAGTGTGAATCCCTCCAAAATTACCCAACTATAAAGTGAGCAATATTACATGTGTTTGAAAAAAAAATTTAAACAGAAGTGTTCTACTGTCTGGGGTCAACCATCTGGAGTTAAAGGGGATGTTATACAACACTTTTTTTTTTTTATGGTATTGAAAATGGGGGAGGGGTTCGAACCTTTGCCACTTTTTTCACCCCTAATGAGTTTGTATCCTTTCATGCACAAGCTAGTTAATGGGCTTTTGGTCAAAAGTTTTCTGTGGGAGTTAGTGTTAGGGGCTAGAATACAGGGGGGCGCCAACACTGATCTTGCATACCCCTCGTCAAATGTGCAGTTGCGCCCCTAGTGTTGACTTTACCACTAGCCAATAATAATTTTGCTTCAGCAAATTTTAAAATGAAATTTCTTAAAGAATTCAGAATCTGATATTTTTCATGGGAAATCTGGATTTAGATTTAATTACAATAGAATAGAAGTAATTACATATAAAGATGGATTTTAATCCCATTTAAGTGGGTTAAAAAACACTTTTAAGTTCAACTTATTGAATTTCGTATACATTTAAACTACAATCCTAACCCGACAGTAAACTTGTGTGTAAGTGTAGAAAAGCGCTAGATTGAGGTATTCAGGTGTTTTTGACATTTTTGTTGTTTTGCTGGATGCAGGTTCTAGCATGGGGATTGCGTAACATGAAGACGTATCAGCTGGCTCCGGTGACGTCACCCATTCTGGTGGTGGAGTGCGGAGAAGAGAAAGTTCAGACAGCTGTCATCAAAAACATGAAGAAGTGCCCTAATTTTCCAGGAAATGTCCTCTTATTAAAAGTGGTGAGCATCCATATGTACCTGTGGAGAAAAGGTGCAGTCATTCTTTAAAATAAAGGCTGCTTGCTTTGATATTTTGCTGTCGAATGCGATGACATTCATATTTAAATGTGGTTTAAGTGTCCAAACTGTTTTTTTTTCTGAGGCCATAGACTATATGTCTTTAGCATCTTGTTTTGTGTCTTTAGCTTCTACCCAAAGAAGAGATGTATACTCCCCCTGTAGTGCTGAAAGTCATCGACCACAGACCCTTTGGACGGAAACCCGTGGTGGGTCAATGCACCATCAGTTCCCTAGAAGAGTTTCGATGTGATCCTTATGCCACAATTGCAGAAGTGGCCATGTCTTCAAAAGGTACATTACTTTTTACACATTTCTGTTGACTGATTCTTTTTCTGTTTTTGTTGAAGGAGAGTTACAAACACCAAATATTACAAACCAGTATCACAAACAAATGCTTGAGTGTGAAAGGCAACATTGTATTGGTATTCCTTAAATTCTGGTTTTAATCAAATCAAAAATGGTTTTGAAGATAACTTCAGCTTTAGGTGGGCTATACATTTTGCTTGGTGTAAACCTCTTTTTTTTTTTTTTTTTTTTGTAATTTAATGCACAAGTAAATATGAACACAGTGTACTTATACTAGAAAACATGCGCTATTTTTATTTTGTAAAGTACAAACGAACATGAAACCATTTAAATGCATAAAATAACTCATTTTACATTCTGGCGTTTATGTGCTGTTGACTTCAGTCCCTTTTTTATTTTTTTATTTTTTTTATTAACCAATTCTTATCACTATCTGCATGTCTCGTCAATGAGTATGCGATGGAGAACAAGCTTTTGGGGGTTTTGAGAACCAGAACCAAGCTGACTAAGCAATAACCCTATAGTGAGCCCCTTTATTAAAATACCTGGAGGTGAGGAATAATACACAAATTGTCATATTCACTCAGCATTACTTGATCTAATTCACAAATATCAGTACAAAGTACAAATTAATTGTATTCAGTTGTGTTTTAGGCACTAAAACAGTCCAGTACTTTATAGTATTTTATATTTTTATAATGAAATAATGAAGATTTCTGTGCCACCCCAGACTGGTTGGTGCCCCCTTCCTGGCCACCCCTATGAAAACATCCTGACTCCACCGCTGCCTATAGAGGGCCAAGTGATTAATATCAGTTCATTTCTGAGTATCTCTATTGCTGAAAAAAAACACACATGTTTGTGAATGGGCGTTTGATTTACATTTGAGAGAAACTGAGAAGATTGTAAACAAGGATACAAACTAGCCACCTTTCGCTGAAAATTGCTGTTTTGAATTCAAAATAGGCCATCTGTGTGATTCAAGTAGATCTTGAAAGAGTTGAAAACTCTTGCTACTTCATACTTTAATACAAAACAATGCTGAACTTTGTCAATAAAGTGATTTTTAAATGCTATAATGGTGATTTTATAATGATAATTGTGATTTTATAATGTCTAAATATAAATCCATTAGCAAAACATGTGAAAAGAACTATATTCCAGAGTGGAAATGGTAAATGAGACTATAAATGATCCCCTGCTGCCATCTAGTGGTCATAGTGGGAATCATGACATTCATTTTAAAGGGATAGTTCACCCAAAAAAACATACACAAATAAAACCAAATGAAACCCTGCGGCTCGTGATGATACATTGATGTGTAAAGACACAAAACGATCGGTCTGTGCAAAAAAACTGAACAGTATTTATATAGTTTTTTACCTCTGATTTTCACCGCAATGTCCGAACTGTCCTGAGCACGTTCTCAACAGCCGGTGTGTGACGCGTCTTCTTCTTCTTGCTTTACGGCAGATCGCAGACTTATAAGTGCATTACCGCCACCTATCTCTCAAATGGACCATTGACACTCCTAATTGAGATTGTAGAAAGAGTGTCATTGGTCCATTTGAGAGATAGGTCCATCCCATCCACTTACATTATATGACTGACAGACTGCAACGGTTTGAGTTAAAAATCTTCGTTTGTGTTCTACTGAAGAAACAAAGCCACCTACATCTTGGATGCCCTGGGGGTAAGCAGATAAACATCAAATTTTCATTTTTGGGTGAACTATCCCTTTAATAGAATTAGTTTTTCTGCCAGGTAAAATCTTGGCAGAAATCTTCCACTTAGCATGGCAAATTTTTGATTAATTATCTCCAGAAGTAAAAATGAAAATGAAAAGTAAATTTTACTTACGGTGTTCTCATTTTATATAAAAATGTGCAAAAATCTGAATAACTTTGAGGCAAAT